GATCCTACAAACTCAAGGTTGTGGGGTCATTGATAAAGTATGCAATCTTCCTCTTTTCCTACTGCCATCTATTTTACCTTTTTATCACCTTGTCTAAAGAATCATGTAGCCTCACGAAATAACTAAAGTACTATAGCCTCAGTTTGGTCATTCTGGCTTTTCAGGAGAGTTCAGGCTTGATTTGCTCTAGGACCCATTTATTGGTCATTTAGGCAGTTCATGGTATCCACAGAACTTTCCTCTAGCACAACTCATTAAATGAGTTTATTTGTTTCCTGACAATTTTTTTTTACTGTTCTTTACTATTATGACACCTCTCAACTTTCTCTACTCCAGGCTAAACATACCCAGCTCCCCAAGCTGCTCCTCATAGAAGGATGGTTTCCAGAAGAAGAAGAAAAGAAAAAGCGACAGCATGCAACTAATACACAATAAGGCTTTGATCCCCCGCCTATAATGAATCATGACTATAATGAAAAGATTACTTTGTTCTTGCAGAGGCTACTGGGGTTGTAACAGCAGTTTATTATTAAACTCATACAAAGTGCCCAAAATTTTGTAAGCACTGTGCAGAAATAAGAAATCCAATGCTCCCTCCATCAGTAATGTTTCATTATCCACTGAACCACACTACAACGCAGCTGCCACAACAATCCTTTCAAAAATTAATCATAATTTAATGTTGTGATGGGGGGGGGAATAACTACTTCATATGCCATAAGCCTTTCAACTTACAGATAAACCTTTTTGTTATGGGTCTTCTAGTCAACTACAACTTATGGAGACCCTATCATAGGATTTTCTTGGCAAGATTTGTTCACAGGGATATGTCACTGCCTGCCTCTTAAGCTGAGAGAGTGTGACTCATCCAATGGGTTTCCCTGGCTGAGCAGGGACAACAACTCTCATAACCCCTGTCCACTGGCCTTGATGTTTCTGAGAGATCAACACTATCTAGAGACCAATTTTTTTTATGCCTGATCTAAAAGTGATTGTAGAGAGACTCAGAAGCTTA